CTTATTAATAATCAGTAAATTTGATTAGTGGGGTCATTCATGGGTTTCATTTCCCAGAATCAAGTTGTTCCAGATAATTGTCATTGTTATTTCCTCTGGTTGCTCAAGTGGTCACAGTTACTATGCCAGTGGGCAGAGTCTCCTAACACTCACCCTGAAGCATTTGAAAACGTCTTCACTTTCTGAAAACAACAGGTTGTCCCAGCTTGTCCTCATTTACTTTTACTGAAAGTCATTTGCCTGCTAATATAGATCACTCATTGCCTTTGAAAAAAAAGTTAATTTATTTACTTTGAGAGAGAAAGAGAAAGAGAGAGAGACAGAGAGAGAGTCAGCAGGGGAGGGGCAGAGAGAGAGAGAGGACAGAGGATCCAAAGCAGGCTCTGTTCTGACAGCAGCGAGCCCAATGCAGGGCTTGAACTCATGAACTGTGAGATCATGACCTGAGCCAAAGTCGGACGCTTAACTGAGCCACCCAGGAACCCCCACTCATTGCCTTTTAAGTAGAAGTTTATAAGAGACTATCCATCAAGGGGCGCCTGGGTGGCGCAGTCGGTTAAGCGTCCGACTTCAGCCAGGTCACGATCTCACGGTTCGTGAGTTCGAGCCCCGCGTCGGGCTCTGGGCTGATGGCTCAGAGCCTGGAGCCTGTTTCCGATTCTGTGTCTCCCTCCCTCTCTGCCCCTCCCCCGTTCATGCTCTGTCTCTCTCTGTCCCAAAAATAAACAAACGTTGAAAAAAAAATTAAAAAAAAAAAGAGACTATCCATCAGTGTTGGGGAGCTGCTGCTACCACTGGGACCTTAAGGTAAAGTTCTTTCTTTCTGGAGCTATTAGACCATATTGATTTTTTTAATTGAATTCTGATATTACTAAATCATTAAAATTTTTTCTTTCAATATAAAGATTTAAAATGTATTTTCTCTTCGACATACCTAATTAAAATTGTAACCTTATACAAGAACTCTAATTGTACTCCTTCTCTTTCAGTGTGAGAGTTGATGAACCCCAAAGTCCTTCTCTATGAGTTTTCTAGGGCTGCCGTGACAAAATACCACAAACTGGGTGGCTTAAGCAATAGAAGTTTATTGTCTCACAGTTTGAGAGGCTAGAAGTCCAAGATCAAGGTGTGAGTAGGGTGGGTTCCTTCTGGAGGCTATGAGGGGGAATCTGTTCTTTGCCACTCCCCTAGCTTTCTGGTGGTTTGCCGGCAATCTTTGGTGTCCCTTGGCTTGCGGTCACACCGGCCCAACCTAAGTCCTTCTCTTCACATGGCATTCTCCCTGCGTGTGTATCATTTTTATCAGCATACCAGTCATGCTGGAGTAGGGGCTCACACTACTGTAGTGTGACCTCATCTTAGCTAATGACAGCTGCAATGACTCTATTTCCAAGTAAGGCCACATTCTCAGGTAACGGGCATTTAGGACTTCAATATAGGAATTTCAGGGGACACAATTCAACCCAGAGCACTTTCAAATACCAAACAGTCTGTTTCCCTCACAAGGTTTTCTGGCCCTCTTTGTACCTGTAGAGTACCTTGACTGGGGCCCTATGCCTCCTTCAACTCTTTCACCACCTTTCCCCAGCAGGCTCTGCCTCCAGGGGAGGACTGCCATTTTAGTGGGGGACCTGGATTGTCCTCGCATGGTGATGCATCAGCCTCAGACTAGCTGACAAGTTACCTTGACTCTCCGAGCCTACGTTTCCTCATCTCTAGAATGGCATCATCATATCACTGGCCTCCCCAGTTGCTATGAGGATTAAATGAAAGCCTTCAGCACAGTCTTTGGTGTGCTGTGAGTGCTCAGAAAACATTTGCTGTCATCATTCGTATCGGCAGAGTTACAGATGTGTGGGGTAGTCAGAGGGGTCCTGGGCCAAACAGGCTTCCCGGCCCCGGGTCTATCTGCAGTGAGAACCAGTCATTTCACCTCCTGAGGCCTCAGGTTCCTCATATGTATAAAATGTATTTGGAAAAAATTTTCTTTCAGTCCTCTTTAGGTTGTTAAAAAATTATTAAAGACAAATTAGGTGATACAAACACATTTTAACATTTCATGAAGTTGACAGTCTCCTTTTGGAGAGCTGAAAAATGGGGTGGAAGTCAGGGAGCTTCTATAAATGAATAAAGGACAAGGAAGAGACAAATAGACTATTGACTGGGGCCATATAGTCAACTTTGTCTAGGTTAGAAGGCCCAGGGTTGGCTTGGTGTTTGGGGACTTGCTGATTTGAATAGACTTTGTTTCTGGTCAAGCAGAGCATTTACAGGGACGCAAAAGCTGATCTAAATTTTGGTTTACTTATGTGGTACCTCGGCAGGACTAGCTCCATCTTGGGCCTAGAAAGTTATTACAATAAGGTCAAATAGTGTCTGTGATTCAGGGAGCAGCAGGGACCACAGCTCATAGCTCTGTCTACAGTTGGCTCATCTGGGCTTTCTTCCCCCAGAGAACCTGCCAAACAAAGCCGACAGGGACCAGTATGAGCTGCTCTGCCTGGACAACTCCCGGAAGTCAGTGGATGAATACAAGGACTGTCACCTGGCCCATTTCCCTTCTCATGCTGTCGTGGCTCGAAAGGTGGGGGGCAAGGAGGACTTGATCTGGGAGCTTCTCAACCAGGCCCAGGTATTCCCACCCACCATCCTCCCTTCCTGCTTGGGGGAGGGGGTGTCTCTGCTTGGATTTGGGCCATTTTCCTACCTTCCCTTCTAGCTACTCTGGAAGTTCTTCTGGGTGTAGGACAGGAACCATGTCACACATCATCTGCTTCACTGAAAAGCCACTCAGTCTGTATATGTTACAGACAGCAGAGGCCATAAAACCCTCACCTTATATCATTGACCTCCTGGTCCAAAGACTCTATAGAAGTGCCTCATTGCTCCATTTTTTTCTTTTCAGTTCTAAAGGGTCCTCACGATGCAGGGCAGGTGCCCCTCCTCTATGGAGTATTCTCCTATTATCTTACTGGCATGTGATCCTGCCCTCCTGACTTCCCTCAGTGGCAGGTTCTCTCGCCATGAGCGTTCTCTCTGTCTGGTGTTGGTGGCAGCCTCTCCCATCCAGCCCTTATTCATCCCCTGACCCCTCTCTCTTGGCGCTCCCTGCTCAGCACTGGGGATTCAGAGATGAAGGGCACAATGACTTGCCCTTGAGTTGCTCCCAGATGAGTGTGGAAGACATGATGAATATACGTACAAACTATCACCAGATGAAATGGTACAACCTTGGGGACCTGGATTGTGTACGTTGTAGAGGTCAGAGGAACTAATTTGTAGGGTATATCTGGGAAGATTCTTGAGCCCTGGGAAGTAAGCTGTACCCCTAGGAAGTACAGGAGGTTGCCAGAGGTCACATTTCATGTACAGCCACTGCAAAAGCAAAAAGTGGACAGACATTGGAAAGACCTTGGGGGTAGGTACAATAGTCAGGAATGGCTTTGGGCCAGCTAGTGGGAGTTGTAGGCAAAGGGCCCTTCCATTGTTTGGAGGCCAGAAAGTTTCCAGCTGGTCCTTCAGTGGTAGGCCTGAGGTAGGAGAGGAGCCCAGGACTCCTGATGTCCAGGCTCAGTGGCAGGTGCTGGACCACTAGCCTCTCTAGGACGAAGACCACTAGAGCCACTAGAGCCACTAATGGCCAGGAATAAGGCAGCCTTCACTGCCTGTCACATGGGAACATGACACTGGGGAGGAGCAGCTGCCTGGCATACAGCAACCCGTACCTCTTGGTGCGAATCTCAGGGGGACAGCCCCTGGCAGTTTCCCTGAAGCCGCACATGGCAGACCAGCTGGGATTTGGGTAAAGTATTCCCTGGAGAGAGACATGAGAAGCCCAGGAACCACAGGGACGTTGGTGGGCCAGGCGCTTTGTCTTTACTCTCAGGTGCTCATGTTTTTTCGCTTTCAGTTTTCCTTATTTGGTTTTGGGTTTGTTTTCCCTTTCCCTTGCTATGCCAGCCTCCCTCCTTCTCTGTTTGTTTTATCCTTTGAACAGGAACATTTTGGAAAAGACAAGTCAACAGAATTCCAGCTCTTTGCCTCTCCTCATGGGAAGGACTTGCTGTTTACAGATGCTACCGATGGGTTTTTAAGAGTCCCTCCTAAGATGGATGCCAAGCTATACCTGGGATACAAATATTTTGCTGCCATTCAGCGTCTAAGGATAGGTGTGTAAGGTCCTGGGAGGGCAGCAGAGCAGGAAAGCCAGAGAAGTTTTCCCAGTGCCTGCAAGCCTCACCCTACCCAACCTTCACTGGCCCGTGGAGCCTAAGGGAGCTACCAACTCCCAGGGGTTAGTGCGGGGATTTTCTGCTGAGCTGCACCAAAGGCCTGAATTATGAGATCACAAAAGGGTTTTGAAGACCTTCAGGTTACAGTCAGTTTGAAGTAATGATGGTTCTCAGTCCTGTGTATTAACCAGGGTCACCTTCCCAGTGCCCAGGAGAAATAGCACATCCAAAACTGATGTGGGAACATGGCCTCTGCCACTATTAGGAATGAAACTAGGATGTCAGAGGGTGTTAATTCAGCTTTTGCCTTCCTCTGGATCCCTATGGCTCATTTTTTCTTTCTTTCCTTCCTTATTTTTTTCTTCATTTAGTCAACCAGTAGTTATTGAGTACCTACAAAAGCCACTGTGTTAGATGTGGGTATACTGTGGTGAGCAGATATTGGGTGAGGGGAGAACAATTAGGCCCACCCCAAAGATAACACATGACTACCAACTAGGGAATGCTGCTGGATGGGAGAACCCAGTCCTGTCAGAGAAAACCCCGGAAGGTCCTGACCTGGGCTGGTGCTCAGAAAGGCCTCCCCTCAGAAGGGTGTACTTGAGGAGGTGAGGTCAATAGGGAGAGGGACTGCTCTGCCTTCATTGTTCCTTCTGAGTACTGAGTTCCCCATTTCTCCCAGAGGGTGATAGGCAGGGAATGAGCAGGGATGTCTCATGCCCACTCTGCTGCTGTCAGTTAGGACACCATCGGGCAGCCATTCTGCAGTCAGTGGCACTAACCTCCCAGACGTATGTGAGGACTTATTTTGCATGCTGGGCTTTTCTCCACCTGTCCTAGGTGTGGAAGACTCCCAGAGGGTGCTGTGGTGTGCAGTGGGCCACCATGAGAGGGTCAAGTGCGATGAGTGGAGTGCTGTAAGTGGTGGCGCCTTACAGTGTACCATGGAGGAGACCATTGAGAACTGCATTGCTGCCATAGTGGTAAGGAGGGCCCTACCTCCACAGCTGGGCTTGGACACCCAGATACATGGCCTCTCTGCCCTTTTCCCATATGTCTTCCTGTCAGCCATGAGGCTAAGATGTACCTGTTGTGTGCTGCCCCACCCCCTCCTCAGCCCCATGCAACTCCACCCAATGCACCCCTCCAGCTCAGGCTGGCCCAAGACCCAGACTCCTTAGGTACATAGCTCTGGAGTCCTGGGAGCTTTGGGAAGTGGGGTGGCATCCCAGGATGTGGATTATGAAAGCAAATCAGCCTTCTCAGTCCTTGAGTCATTAAGTTTAACTTTTTTCTGGTGCCAAAAATATTACATGCTACAAGAGAAATGAAAGACAAATAAAATCATTCACAACATCATAACTCAGAGATCATGATCACATAATTTCTGAGTTATGAAGTTGTGTTGTTATTAACTTTCCTTTCTCTAAGAGCAGACAATATTTTTGTGATTAGAAAAAATAAATTTATGGGGCACCTGGGTGGCTCAGTCATTTGAGCTTTTGACTTCTGCTCAGATCATGATCTCGTGGTTAGTGAGTTTGAGCCCCACATCGGGCTTGCTGCTGTCAGCCTGTCAGCGCAGAGCCTGCTCCTGTCCCCTCACTTTGCCCCCTCCCCCACTGGCACTCTCTCAAAAATACATAAACATTAAAAAAAAAAGAAAATTATAAATAAAATACTAAAAAATTGACAGAAACCTAGGAGACACACAGTCTTCTTGAAGAAAGAAGATCTGTATTTTGGTAAGCCTTCCTGGGAATAACCCGTACATTAAGATCTGGCAATTTATACAGTCTCCTAAATTTGTCGGTTACAAAGATTAAATGAATTTGAGTGCTCGGGACATTGCCTAGCATATAGTAAGCAGCCAATAAATGTTATCTATTGTTATTATTATTTAAAGTCAGCACAGAAGGTGTACTTTCTTAGATAATGAAATATTTGTTTAAAATATATTTTTAATGGCTGCATAATATTCCACCAAGTATTTCAGCCTCAATTTATTTAACTAATTTCTAAATGCCTACATCTGATTTATTCTCAAATCCTTTGATATTGTAGATAATATGGATTGAATATTTTTGTTCTATGACCTCAGTATTTCCGGGTGTATCTTTAATAGTAATGATAGCTAATATTCGTGAAGCTACTTACTATGAGCCAAGTATGTTTATGAGCTCTTATCTTGTATTAACTCATTTAATCCTCACAATAAGCTCATGAGCCCATTTTATGGATGAAAAAAGTATACAGAATAGTTTTGAGGTATGTGTCCTTTAAAATAGTCAGATCCTGGAGACTGTGTGGTATAGTGGTCATGAACTAAGGAATGAAACTATGTTTTAGTCTTAGTGACTGTCTATTAGAGGAATTATTTAAGCTGTCTCTGATCTAGTTCACTAATGTATAAAAGGGGAGGATTATAGTACCTACCTTGTTGGATTTTGTGAGGAATACATGAGATAATCACTGGAAGGTGTTTCAAAAGGACCTGGCGTATAGTAAGGGCTTGGTAAGTTTTGTTTCTATAGTTGCTACTATTTTAAGATAAATTTCTAGTAAGGCAGTTAATAGATCAAAAGCGAAGCATGTGTATGTATCTGTGTGTTTTTATCACAGTGACCTTATCTATACATTTTTTGCTCTGCTGTTGGAAAATTTCATTGATTTAAATAATAACCTATTAATGAATTATTTAACTGGAGAAATTAATTGTTAATCGAATGTCTCTGTTGTGTTAGTGCTCTGAGTTAGTGCTAATGGGATTATGGGAACAGAGTTGAACTCCACCATAGAGAAGAAAACATGTTTCATAGAAACATTAGTAAATACGGTCTCTGAATCTGGCCATGTAGATGGCTGAGTAGTAACAGTCACAAATAAAATGTGTTAAGGACATGTCCAGTACTCAACATGGGACTAATGAGAGGTCAGAGATGCCAGGGAGCATGATCTGGGTTGGGTGCTTGCTCCTGGGTCAACATGTCCAGCTTTCTAAACCCTGTGGTTATATGGCAGAAGTTTTGATTAATCAAAAGTACATGTGACATAAAGCTAATGAGACAGAAAACCTCTGAGGGTCAGTGAGACAGGAAACAGCCTCACTTTTGTGCTACTGATTTATTTCTTCAGAAAGGAGAGGCTGATGCCATGAGCTTGGATGGAGGCTTCATCTACATAGCGGGCCAGTGTGGTCTAGTGCCTGTCCTGGCAGAGAACTACAGTAAGTGGAGGCGGTGCCTCTCGCTGTTTTATTTCCTCGAGGCCATTGACATGAAAGATGAAGAAACGATTTAGTTCACTGTTGAGATAATAACTACTGTTGGAATGTAAGAGGCTAGCAGATAATATCCTCTTTCCCCAGAGCCAGAACCAATGAAGATATGGATACAGGAATAAGGCAGAATGAGATCAAAGGAGATCTTTATTACTTAAAAGGTGATATTGGAGGGCATGGTACAGAGCTGGCTGCAGGGCTTGCCAAATTGCCCTTGAGTTAGAGTTACCCACTAGTTCAGGAGAACAGGTCTGTTGGCTTACCCCATGGCTGAGGGCAGAGGAGAACACATATTGTCATAAATCTTCATTGAAAAGATCTAAACCAACCTCTCCCCACTCTCTTCAATAAAGAAAGGAGGGGCTGAGCCACATGAACTTCAATACTTGTGCCAAATTTACTAGTCCAAAATCAACTCACCCCAGCTGCACTGGAAGATTGAGGGGTGATGCTACAGGGTCATGTTCTTTAGTGGGGATCCTTTCACATAAAAAAATAAAGCTGGGAAAAAGAGGATTTCACCAATATAATTTATGAAGTACCTCATCGGTTAGGTGGTGAGCAGGAAACCATACATTATTCTTCAATACAGAACAACTCTGCTAAGTAAATAATGGTAGCTCCATTTTGCTGATATAAAAACTAAGGCTTAGAGAAGTTAAATGATGTGTCCAAGGTAGAATGAAGACCGTATCTAGGGTTTTCTGACTCCATGGATTCGATTTTTCCCCTCCAACATAATGAGAATATGATGATTGCCCGCCACAGTCCAGGGTTCTGCAGGGAAGAAGGATGTCAGGATGATTTCAATCACATAGCAAATGCAGAAAGATCTTTGTCGGGATCTTCAGTGGCCTCTGCCCCTCCTGAAAGGGCATCTCATATTCTTTCTCTGTAACCCCCTGAGTGTTGGGGAGATTCTGAGGTGGAACCTAATGTTCAAATAGCAAAGGTCAGGCAGAGAGGGGTAAAATAGGCCTACAGAAACTTGCTTGTTGATAACCAATGACACACTGCTTAATTTTATCCTTCACTCTTGAGATTGAGAAGCTCATGACTTTGGACTGAGTAATAGGAGAGTTTCATGCCATTGTCCTGTTTTTTTTTTTCTTTTTAGTGCCTAAGGATGAGTCTAGGTGTGTGAATACACCCATGGGAGGTGAGTCAGAATCAGTAACACTGGGGTCAAAGATAAAGGCCATTGTTGGGGGAGAGGGTGGGGAAAGTCTTAAAAATAAACAAAAGTTATTAGAGTTGTAAGAAAATAAGAAGGATGATGAGGAGAAGCCGCCAGTACCACAGCTTATTGTTAAGGAGCAAATCCGTCACGAAGCTGTAGCAATAATTCCCGTTTGTAGGGTATGTTACAGTCA